GCTTCCACCCCATCTCTCTTCCAATCCTTTCTGCCCCAGAGTAATTTAACAGCACTTCCTGCCCAGTACTCCCAAACTCCTTTTTAGGTCTCCTGTGACTTTCCTGAAAGTATAGCAGATGCTTCTCTGCTGATGATGAGAGTTTCCGACAAGCTGCTTAATGATTAAGAGATGCGGAGTGTTCTCTAAGAGACGGGGAAGCATCGTTTTTGCTTTCTCAGTCTTGATTCCCTGGGTGGACTTGGAGGCATTGACGCCACTCGTTGCCTGTTTAGGAAGAAGCGGGGCAGGGTGAGCCCTGGAGAGAAGCAGACCATTTAGGAGCGGGGAAACTGAAGGCCTGAGACGCTTGGACTCCAAAGTGCAATTGCTAGATTCGTGGAGCCACACATGGACACCAGTTAGGCCTTGGGAGCATCTCAAGGGTGATGGGTGGTGATGGATTTTCCAGTTGGAACCCTTAGTTTTCATGGCTGACAGGACAGATTGTCTAGTGGAGCCCCTTCATCTTACACATGAAAGCTCAAGGTCTTGCAGCTAATTCGTGGCAGGGGGACTAAAGCCCAGCTCCCCTGACCTGTGGTTCACTACTCTTCCCTGAACAGCCCACAGGTATGATTTCTCCTATGCCTCGGGGTATGGGGGTGCATCCAGAAGAAAGAAATGCTCTAACTAGCTGTGGCAGGTGGGCTGCTGTGAAACCAGAGAGCTGTACCACCATGGATGGGGCCCTCCGGAACCTCAGTGCTGAGGCACCCTGGGCACTGCAGCTGGGGAGCATGTTGCTGTTATGGGCAGCAGTGTCAGATGGACAGATTTCCTCAGGAGGCGACTTCCTGGCTCTCCCTCCCCTGGCAGTAGGCCCACCTTTCCTAGCACTAGCTGAGACTTTGAGTGAGCTTGCTACTAAGCTCAGCTCTACCTTATCAGCCCCCGAGTTGGAAGTTGAGAAGGCCAAGGTAGTCTCCGCTTCTTTCCAATAGCAGTGACCTCTCCCACACTAGGGAGCTCATTACCAGCCAGAGGCCCTAGGGCAGCCTCACCAATAGCAGGTAGAGGTGAAAGCAATAAGGCACTGGCTGTTCTGCAGCACCCGCTCTCCCCAGTTTTATTAGAGGCCAAGGTCTCAAACATTCCTGATGAGGATAAAAGGCTAGTAAGGTGCATGGAAATGGAGGCTGAAACCTCCTAGGTGGAGGGCAGGACAGAGAGAGGGTTAGGCAAGGGCAGCCACAGGGCTGAGCTGAGCCTCGGCTTCCCAGGCAGGGAGGGTAGCTACCAGGAAATGCTAACTGCCTCTATTTGCTTAGCTCCCATCTTTCTATTTACTCAAAATTAACTCGTTATATTCCCTTATCAAATAACCCAGTGCTCTGGTGCCTGCCTGGGAAGGCCCCTTTCCAGTTCCTGAGTCAAGAGCAGTCAAGTCCCCTCCAGGCCTGATGAGCAGTCAACTCCCCAGTTGCCCCCAGTGGAAGCTCCGGCATGGGCTCCAGGGCTTCTGGCCCCTTTCTTCAATGTCCCCATGTCATAGGGAGGTCCTGGGTCCGGTCCCCTTGCCTGTGTGGGCAAACTGATGGAAGATGGAGGTCGCTATGGGGTGTAGGGACTGGGGGTTGCACACTACACTGCAGACCCAGCACCCACATGCCCCCCAGCTGCCCAAATCCTATGAGGCAGGGCAGCCATACAAAAAGAAGGGGTCCTGTGGGCCAGAGCTCCCCTGGAGGGAACCATCCTTGAGAGCAGTTCCTAGAGTCCTGAGAGATCCTGTTTCCCCTGTGGGAACCCTCCTATCCCTAGGCAAATCTTCTAAGTCTGTAAACAAACCACTCACACTCACCCAGAGACAGCCTGTGAAAACACGACTCCCTCTGTAGGACGGCAGTGGTGAGGGCCTGGCAACAGCAGCGCGCATTTCCCTCCTCTCAGAGAGGCCATTTGAGCTTCCCGCATTCTTCCCAGGCTCCAACTTGATCTCACACCGGTCTGGAGAACCAGGGTCCTTCTGGCTAAAATGTAACCACCCCTTTCTGTGGCTTTATTGCCGCTGCTCTTGTGTGCTGGTGGGCACCTCTGAGGCACAAGTTGGTGTAAGGTAAGGGCCCTGCCCAGAAGGGCCTCTGTCACTACATGCGACAGGAGGGCACGGTGGTGGGACAGAGCGGACTGGGGGACTCCTGGGAGCTGTCCAGGGGCAGGAAGCCTCGGAGAGTGTCAGGGAGATGTGCTAACTGTGGCATGGGCTCCAAGTCAGGGTCCTTGGGGGGACACAACCTTGGACCCTGTAACAGGCATGAGATTGTCTAACCAAAAGGAAAGGGAGAGGCATTTGACCAAAGATATGCCAAAGATATGTGGAGCAGAGGGTTGGCAGAGAGGAGGAGGAGGAGGAGGAGGGAGAGAGAATCAGGTGAGGAAACAAAATAGGACTCAGTAGTTGAGAACCCCTGATGCAGGCTAAAAAACCAAACGAGGGGGCCACTAAGGGCAGGTGAGCAGCGGCACTGATAGAAGACCATTGGGCACTAAAGCACTCGCTATTCATGCACTATGGGTAATTTCCTCAATCTCATGAGACACTCATCTTCTCCTGTGTGCAGTGGGGACAAGCAGGACACCTACCCCAGAGGGTGGTGCTGGAATCACTGAGAGGGTCTAACAAAGAACCTAGCGAAGTGCCAGGCACACGTGCAGAGGTGCTTGTTCCTTTTGCTGTGCCAACAGAGTCTGAAAGGATCCCTTGAACTTTGGGCAGGATCAAGCTTTGGAGATGCTGACTGCCTCTCTTAAAGACAAAAGGGAGGGAGTCAGAGAGAGTTGGGCTTCTCCTTCTACCCCAGTACCTCTGTCAGAGATGGAGCGTTCTGCTAGATGTACCACGGGCGGAGGGGGTCTCTTTCCTACAATACCAGGGTACCAGGCAGCTTCTGTGTCTCCCTCCCTTGAAGAGGAGACTAAGAAGACAGGAGATGCCCCTGAAGAAGGTGGGGCTCCTGCATCGTCCCTGGTTGTACGCTGCTGGACTGTGCGTAGGGGTTGAGACTGTATGCCCCCCACAAAGCCCATGCCTCTGGCGAGCACTCAGGAAGTATGAATGAATCACCCAATGAATAGGTGGATGCTTTGTGCTCTAAGGTACGGAGGAGTCAGAGCTGCCTTGGGTGAGCTGGCAGGGGCTCTGCTCAAGGTGGAGGGTGGGACACACTCTCCCAAGGGTACAGCTAGCCAGGCACGGCTTTTCAAGCTGAACAAATGCAGGGAGTGATGGCACCAATCCCCGCCTCACAGAACTGTAAGCCTCCAAGGCAGAGGCGTGTTTGTGGATGAGCTCCACAGGCCTCGGTCTTGCCTGTGGGCAAAGGATTGTGTGTGCTGGAGGAGGTGGTGACTATGGGGTATCCAGCTGTAGCCCCAGCCGGACTCCCTCCTGGGAAGCTGGGGGTAGCAACCTTCTGTACACCTCCTGAGATTAGATTGAGGGTGACCAGGTAGGTGGACAAAAAGACACGCGTGGAGCTACAAAAGGGTAGGTATCAGTGCCACCTGGAAGAGAACAGGCTCTGGAGGGAAAGTGGTGGTGGGTATTGGCTGATTCTCCAAGCAGCACCCAGATTCTAGGAGTCTCCAGCAGAGGAGAATGGACAAAAACCTTGGTGTCACTCTCAACGCCTCTCTTTCTCAGAAGTCACCTCCTCAGAGAGGCCTCCCTGGCTAAGATGTCAACAATCATAGCCTCCCTTTGGTCATTTTACATCCCCCTTCTCTGCCTTTGTATTGTCCTTGGCCTAATAATACATAAGCTCCATAATGGGAGGAATTTTTGTCTCTTTTGTTCTCTCCTGTATCCCAAGCACCCAGATCAACACCAGCACATAGCAGATGGTCAGTAATTGTTTCGTTTTTTCTTTCTTTTCTTTTCTTTTTTGGTACCGAGGATTGAACTCAGGTCCTTGCACTTGCGAGGCAGTTGCCAGAACCACTGAGCTAAATCCCCAGCCCAGTAATTGTTTCTTGAATAAGTGAATGAATGAATGAATGAATGATTAGCGGATCCCATCTGAAATTAGAGCCACCCCAAACCCTAACTTGTCTCCTCCTCAAACCTTGCTCTTGGAGTCCTATGAGAGGAAACATGCCCATGTCTCGCAGCCCTAAGCCAACTGCACCCCCTTCAGTAAGTAGGGAAGAGGAAGCATTCTGCTAAGACCCTGTAATGGACGGGCATGCTTGCTATCTTTCTAGGAAGATGGTAAAACTTTCTGGGAGTTCTCATGTCCTTTGGCCATGATGATTATTGTGGCAGACGAGACAGAAGAATGTGTTCTCTTGGCTGGGTTAATGTTTTTTAGGATGATCACTTTAAGGAAAATAAACAAAGTAGATCCAATCCTGGCAGCAAGTGTGAGGTAGCGAATGTACAGCTCAGTGGTTAGTAGCATGTCCTGAGCAGGGAATCAATTCCTTGCATGTCCACACTGAGGTTGGAAGCTAGAGTGCTGGATGTCCTGGGAGAGGCAAGAAAGAAGAAGAGTTGACAAGAACAATGGATCTAAAGGACAGAGGCAGGAAGGACTCGCAGAACTGTTAGGAGAGGGGCCCAATGGCTAGAGTGTGTGTGTCTTAGGCAGGTCATTTTCATGGCCACTTGCTTAGGCGGGAAGACTAGAGGGGTCAGTGACAGGTGAGGGTAAGCTAGAGGAGAATGGGACTGGGCTACCATGGGTCTGTGGCCCAGGAGCACACATGGGACAAGTCAGACAAGTGCAGGATGGCAAGGACTAGGACCTGAACGCGATCAAAATGAGAGAACAGCACAAGAGGCAAATTCCACTGAAAGGGTAGTACTGCTGTGACTGGGGTAAGTCCCTTGGCATGCGTGACACTGAGGCTCCAAGCACCTTCTCCTGGGCCTCACAGTGCCCCCAGTGCTACTACAGAGGGAGCCAGGGCACCAGCCTATGTACCCCTCACCTGCGTTCTCGTCTGCTTCTTTACAGGAAAGTGTGGACTTGGGGGAGATCATGTTCTCCCTGTGCTACCTGCCCACCGCAGGCAGGCTCACCCTCACAGTGATCAAATGTCGCAATCTCAAGGCGATGGACATCACAGGCTATTCAGGTACCTCTCTTACCCAAGTGGCCTGCCACAAGGCCTTCTCTAAGTCCAGACATTAGAATTTGGAAGAGTGTTTTGGAAGAAGGGGCAAGAACGGTCATTGCTCTTGGAATGGTACTCTTAGCACCAGCTAGTGGGACAATTGCCTGCATCCAGATTCAACTTCTGCCACTTCCTTCCTGTGTAAAGGCTGTGGTTTCTATATTAGTCAGCTTTCATTGCTATGACAAAATACCTGAGACAATCAACTTAAGGAAAGAAAGATTTATTTTGGTTCATGGTTTCAGAGGTTTCAGTCCATGGCCATTGTTGGGTCTGTGGCAGCATAGTACATCATGCAAAAAATGTGTGTCAGAGGAGGCCTCATGGGGCTAGGAAGTAAAGAGTGAGGAAGAAGATGGGCCACGGTCCTAATATCTCCTTCAAGAGCCCATTCCCAAAGATGTAACTGCCTTCCAATAGACCACACCTCCCAAAGGTTCCACTACTTCCAATAATAATGCCACAAGCTGGAGATCGAGCCTATAACACATGGACCTTTGGGGGTCATTTCAGATCCAAACTATGCCAATTTCCTAAGTTGACAATCAGAACAGTCATATCTTATACTGGTCGCATTCAGAATAAGTGCCTGACATATAAGCATTTAATAAGTATTGGCTATTACTCTCATCCTCTTAGACAAAGGAAGGGCATGTATAGGAGACCAAAAAGAAAAGAAAAGAACAAAACAACAACTAAGAACAATTTCCCTGATTTATACAGGTCCTTAGGACTTGCAGCAGGATTATGTCAAATCTAGTGTGTAAATGTTTGCAGGTCCACACAGGCCTAGGGCAGCAGCCCTGCACACTAAGTCAAAGGAACAAATCCATGGAAAAGCAAAGTGTGCGTGTGCAGATTTCCTACAGGGCCCCTAGTCTCAGTCTCAGCACCAGGAAAGCTGAGCGATAGCAGAATAAAACTCTAGTGCAATTCCAGCCATGCAGAAAATGCTTGTATGGGGGCAGCTGTAAAGTGTAAGGGAAGGTGTTTGAATTTGAAGATAACAGAAAAGCAGCTTGAGGCCTGGGAGACTCTTGCCCCTGCTCCAATCAAACAGCCCCAAGGGGTGACTAGGGTCAAACTGCTCTGTGACTAGGGTCAAAAAGCCTGCAAAATGGCTGGTAGAGCACAGTGGGCCACACTTATGATAGAGAATGTGAGAAAATACCCTGCTTATTTCTCTAGACCCAAGGGACCCTTCTCCTGATTCCTGTACCAATGTAAAGCCACCCAGGAAGCACCTCTGAACTTGGCTGGAAGACATTGAAGAGTTTCCCCTATATTTCCCTTGTATTTCTTATTTATTTACATCCCAGAAAGCTCCCTTAGAATAATCACAAGCACCAGAAAGAGGCCGCAGTGCTGCTGAAAATATCTGGGCTGCAGCTGAAACATCTGGGCTCACGTGTGACATCGTGTGGGTTGAAGGAAAGAAGGCATCAGGCCTCGGAAGCTAAGGTTTAGGGGAAAGGTGACTGGGAAACGCGGAAGTTCAGTAATGCGTGTTCACTGCCACCTTGACTCCCTCAAGCCTTGATGTGAGCCTCCAACAATCTCTAGGGAGCCCCTGGCTTCCAGACTGCGAGCCCCATGGAGACTCAAGGTCCTCAAGCTCCTCTGCTGAGGAAACTGCTGACACACATCAGGACATAGCAAGGAGCTTAAAGAACCTCTGCTGACATGCAGAAATGTTTCACAGCAGCAAAGCAGCTTCCCCCAAAACGTAGCCAATGTGGATTTCATTTTAAGACCAAAATAAGTGTGTGCTGGGGACACAAATTCGCCGAGGACTCTCAACATTGAGGGAAATAGGATTTTGCTGCCATAATCCCGACACTATCTTCTGTGGTGTAATTAAATGGATGAGAGAGAGAGAGAGAGAGAGAGAGGGAGGGAGGGAGGGAGAGAGAACTCTCGTGGTAAAGCCATCAGTAATTTCAAGGCCATTCCAAATCAGAAGGTTATGAGTAAGAGTTTTTTTTTTTTTAAATGTTAAACTCTAAGCTGCTCACAATTGCCCTCTTTTCTATATGGGATAAAAATGTGGTCCTAAATCTCAGTTAGACTCTGAAAATGCAGGGGTCCTCTTTGTATCGGCGATGACTGTCTATTTTGCTCACAGATGTAAATAAGTATATGACACAATGCTTGGAATACCTAAATATGGATTAATGAGTGAATGAACAAGTAAATGAATGAGTTTATAGCATGAGGAACCTGCCCTGAGGGTGATGCCATTGCTGGGTACAAGCGAGGGCCCTCTCCTACTAGATCTCTTATTTTTGAGAGTGGGTTTGAAGTTGCTTCAGCCCAGCCTGTTGGTCTCTCCTAGGGAGAAAATGGAGCTTATTAATTGCCTGTTTAGCTTAATATGGCATTCAAATCTAAAACGAAGGATCTTCTTATTCTCCTGGTTTTGCACTAGCCTAGGCTCGTTTCTCTAAGCCTATATGCTAGAACCATGACAATATAAAATATTTCAAAATAATAATATGAATCCACATCAACAAAAGAGTGATGAGTTAACCCTCTTACCTCTGCCACTTCTGCTCCATACTGCTTTGAATCTAGTAGTCAAAAATGTGAGCCTACGAGTCAGACCTGAGTTTAAATCATAGGCAAGTTTCTATTCCTTCTATGCCTTAGATTTCCTACCTATGAAAGAGATATTGATGATACATATTTCATAGAGTTGATGTGAATTTTAAACATCCTTATGTATGTACATTTCTTAGCACAGTACATAGTACACACCAAATGCTCAATTCTGAAGGCTACTATGGCAATGAGGCTAAAATACACTGCTGGGCTTTGTGCCACCTTGATCAGCTACATAGAGCATCATAGAGAGGAATAGGCCTCGCAGATCTTCTGGGTCCAGCATTCTACTAACACCACAAGCTTTTGCCCCAGAAAACCCCAGGAGACAGTCATCTCTGCTTAACTTAGCGGGTGCTGGTGAGAGCGCTGATTCCTGCAAGGGAAGTGTACCCACTGAATTTATAAATACGTTGCGTTTGCCTCATAGGGATGACCACAGCTGAGCAAAGAGCCATTTGCCCTGGTGGCCCATGAGACAAGAGGCTCTGCCTATATTTTTCCAAGCCACATGACGTGGGAATTTGCTCTGAGCAAGAGTGTATGGAAATAGGAATAGCAAGCAAACTCATGTCTGAAGACACTTTTGAATGCTATGCATCCCCTTAGAGTTCAGTCTCAAAGACAGGTCCTGGAGCCAGTTCTTCCCACCTGTCTGCCTCCCCTGGACAGTGTCCTAGGGTGTATCCATGGGGAATGGTGCCAATGGAGACTGGAAAGCTCTCTCACTCAGATTCTAAAAACTCTTTTCTCTGGCTTTACTGAAAACCCTCCTGAGAGGAGGCACTTGCAAATGGGTAGTCAGAGACAGCAGGTTGATTGAATTCCTCCCGGAATTTAATCTCCCCAGTTCCTCCATAAAACTTAGAACCCCCATGGTTAAAGTACAGCTGCCACTGTTATACTGTTTAGTCGGCAGCTCATTTGGAGGCCTGTGGAAATGCCTTTAAGGCTTGGAGCTTCTGAGCAGATGCAGTTTCTTGATTCCCACCGTAGTTGTGTGCCTCCCCTGCCTCATGTATAATGATGGGAATGTGAGGGCCAAGTGGGTATCAGGTGTCCAGGAGGTACAACTGTACTCCTAGGAATAGCAGAGCTGGGAGCTCCCATGGCCCATACCTCTGGACAGATCCCATGAGATCTGGCTTCTGGGCAAGAAGATGTCTCCGTGCATCAACATCTCAAAAGCTATTATTACCTGTGAGCTGCCCTCTTGTTTCTTGAGCTGTGTGACATAAATACTAATTATGATGGTGACTGAGACACCTGTGCTTTGAGATACAATACGTGTCACTTCATTTGGATGAGTAGAAAATTTCAGGGTAGAAAGATGACCATGAAATATCTATTCAGAAATCTAGAAAAGAGACAAGACTGGGAGGCACAACAGAAGTTTAACAAAAAGACATTGCTGTGCAGGATGGAGAGCATCCAAGATCCCACTGAGAGATGAAATGTCAACCAGCTGCCCTGTGTCTCAGGAGACCGTCCCAGTCACTCTCCCAGACACAGCTCCTCCCTCCTCCACTGTTCAGAAGTGAGCAGGGATAGCTGCAGCGAGGCAAAGAGCAGGGCCTCTTTCCCCCTTCTCGATGCCAAGTGGAAATGAGATTACTGGGACAATGAGACCCAAAATCGTGCTGTCAGGTGGGGAGGACACAGACGCCAATGTGATTGCTGCTGTTCACTTTGCTCTGATGGGGCTATTCTTTGAGCACCGCTGAGTTCTATTTTTACCCACTTTATCTGCTGATTAAACATCGCAGAGAAATAGTGTCATTGTTCAACACCCCTTTTGGGCCAGCCAGTGAGCCATCATGGGGCTGAGACGTAGGACTGGGAACTGCTAATGCATTTGCAAGAGTCCTGACTGTGTGGGGGCTACCTTCCTTATTTGTGAGAGGCCACAAGGCATGCTCCCAAGAATACTGAGGTGGCTAAAGACTCCATGTTCATTCAGCATGGAGCATCCTCAGAGACAGGTGTACTACATGAATACAAGGTGGTTTAATTATTTGAACAACCCACTGACACCTTCTGATGAGCAGCAGTAGGTCCAGGGCTTCTGTCCCTCTGCTGCGCATGATGCTTGGGGACATCTGTTTAACGTGTGCCTTTGCACTGCCCCTATTGGCACAGATCCCTACGTCAAAGTGTCCCTGCTCTGTGATGGACGGAGGCTGAAGAAGAAGAAAACAACCATAAAGAAGAACACTCTCAATCCTGTCTACAATGAGGCCATCATCTTTGACATCCCCCCAGAGAATATGGATCAAGTCAGCCTGCTCATCTCGGTTATGGATTATGATCGGTAGGTACTGTCCCAGAGGGACATGATTCTCGCTCCATCTCCTCCACTCCAGTTCGGTGTAGGACTCCTTGGCTAGTGGTTCTGGGCTCGGATGGCTTCTGGCCTCAAATCTGGCTCCACCTAAGAATGGCACAGGAGTTTGAGGAAAAATATGGACTCCCCTTAGCAAAGGGCTTCCTCTCCTCTTTCAGCTATCTCCATCTGGAGTAACTTCACCCATCATTTTCCCCAGATTCACCCCTGACTCTTCCCTGTTCTTCCATCCTGAACCAAGTCCTGGCATCTGTCCTTTCAAATGCCCCCATATCCTGTTTCTGAGGCTGCTGCCACTCATAACTCTAGGGTGACTGTGTGGCCTCCGTCACCCTCTGCCCCAATTCTGCCAACAGACTAAGGACACATCTTCCTGGACACTTTCTTCTGGACCTGCCCTTCTCAAGAACTATCTCTGACTCCTATTTTCTCGGCTCTTCCTGTGGACTCTCAAGACCTCTCATAATCTGGACCCAGCACATCCATCCAACCTGATTTCTCCTTTCTCAGATGTAGTTCCCTTTTGCTAACCCTCCATTACCATCAAAACTGACTCTAAAACATTTTCCAGCTCCTCCAGCCCCGTGACTCCTTCTCTCCAGTTGTCATTTCGTTCGTAGGAGATGAAATCCATGCAATAAAGCCTTAATCCTGGATTTTTAGCTCAAGTTCTCAGGCATAGTAGGTGCTTGACAAACATACTTGAGAGATGATTCATGTTCTATGCTGAGTGAATAAATCACATTTCACCCACTGGGGGGATGGAGAAATGGTAGTCAGAGGAAGGTGATTTATTTTCAGATGCTGATGTCTCCAGTGAGGTTGTAATGTGTTGGTCAAGTCATATAAGGGAAGAGACAAATTCTCACACTCCCTATCTGCCACCATTTCCCAAGATGCCAAACAAATTTATTTTTCTGCTCATCTCTCTGTGTCCAACATCTGCCTAAGGAGGATGGGCAAAGCCTCACAGCCATTGGCACGTCAAGGCCATGCCAAGCACCAGTTTTCAGAGCTGACAGTTCTGAGTGAGCCCCACTGGGCAGACCCTACCCCCAGAACCTCCCTCTCTGGGAAGATGTCTGGTAGCTCACACAGGGTCCTTTGCTTCTCCTTCAGCGTGGGCCACAATGAGATCATCGGTGTCTGTCGCGTGGGCATCAATGCTGAAGGCCTGGGCAGGGACCACTGGAACGAGATGCTCGCATACCCTCGGAAGCCCATCGCACACTGGCACTCCTTGGTGGAGGTAAAGAAATCCTTCAAAGAGGTGGGTGAGGTCGCCTGGCCCTTGGCATGTCTGCTGCATGATGGCGTGGGCTGGAGAATGGCCATTGGCTGCTGCAAGAGTCCCTCGGCCTTCTGTGGGCAGGGAGCCAGGGGCCACACGCTTCTCACCAGGTGTGTAGCAGGCAGATGGGGGAAGAAGATGGAGGCTGCCCGACAAAAAGCCCCTGTTATATGTTTTGGTATCGGGTATCGAACTTGGGTCCTTGCACTTGAGAGGGAGGCGGCGGAACCACTGAGCTAAATCCCTGGCCCCCCTGTTATATGTTTTGAAAGCCACACTGAGTTCTTAATGGAAGGTAAGAACTTTGAAGAAGTCTTCCTAAAAGGCCACTATGCCAGGCCTGGAAAGCTTTCACAAGTCCCTGGGCCAAGTTGGTCCTTTAGGAGATAGTCCCAAGGGAGTGAGATCAGAACTTGGCAAGGAATTCCATGCCTGTCAGAACAGTGGGTTCTCTAAGGCTCAAGCCAGGCGGTCACTTGGCAGTTTTCACTACTTGGGAGAGATGACTGAAGAATGGATTTCTCTGCTTGGGAACTTGGTTCTCTCCATTGTTGCAAAAGGGAGTGTGGCCTCTAGGTGGTGTCACTCTTTCTGGCTAGGTTCTAACAGAGAGCCCTGGCCTGGGAGTCCCAAGACTTGGGTTCCAAATTTGGCCCTTCCTGACTTTCTGTGCAATCTGAGGTCTGCCGTGTCTCTCTCAACCGCAAAGAAAATGTCCCTTTGACTGATATTTAGTTTTCCCCCACACCACCAAATCCCACCAGCTTAAGACCCTGTGATTTATCACATTGGTAGTCCTTGGGCTTGCTTTTTCTCAAAATGGGTTGGAACATAGGGACACCCAGGAAAGCTCTCAACTTTATTTTCAAGATCTCATACCCTAGTCCATCCTAGAAAGTTAGATGATCATTCCCTCATCTTCACGGGCTGCAAACTTACTAAGCCTAGGGGGCTGTAGAAAATTAGAAATTTTTCTAATAAAAAAAAACAAGCTTTATCCCTTCTACCACTGGCCCCTCAGTTTAAAAGCAGAGTCACCTTAAAAACAGAGCAATCCCTCCTCCCACTCTGATGCAGAAAAGATGAAAAGGTGCAGATGTAAACCCCGAAGACCACCAGCTCCCTTTCCTTCTCAGGGTGGATAGGCCATTTCCACCTACTTCTAGCAGTGCGAGTCCTGAGAGAGATTGGGAGCTGATGGGATGGGCATGTGGCGATAGTGGCCTCTAGGGAGCCAGGCTATTTGACTTACCTTCCAGATAGACCTGTGCTCTGTAGAGCTCCAGCTGTAGCTTAGACTCAGCACTAAGGAGTCCGACACAGACTAAAGTTCCTGTCAGCTAAGGGCTCGCATCTCTGTCTTGTGGTTGCAGAGCTGTTGAGCTTTAATGATTGAGACCATTCCCTCAGCTTTCTGGTTCTCCTTTGCAATCCCCTCCCTTCAGAAGGACCTCTGTGCGGTGAGTGTGATACCCAGCACCAACTACAGGTGGAGCTACTGGGCAGGACGCTGGGCCATCTGGGGACAGCCTAGCACCAGACCGAATACAGTGTGGGTTCAGCCCAGGAAGAGGCCATGACAGCCCCTCCCCTTTAATCCTGTGGAAATATTCAAGAATGGACTAAGCATACTAAACTGTTTAGAGTGATTTGGAGCAGGGCATGGAATGAATGTGAATTAAGAGGGCTGTGGAGCCTCAGGCAACCCCCTGCTCTACTCTTTTTGGTTTCCTGGCTGGTAAATGAAGGGAAAGGCCCTCCCAGCTCTGCTTTTCTGCCAAATGCTGACCCTTCATGACAGCGGGCCCAGGAGCCCACACGCTGCAGTGTGACTGCTTGTCTAACCTTGGATCTGCAATAACCCATTCCAGTGACCGGGCCAGACCTGTCTCTGGGTGACAAAGTGACTGACAGAGCTGTGGCCAGAAAGGGGGCGGTGTCCAGGCCCCAGCACCCTGATGAATACCACCTAATTAAACCAAATAATTGATTCAGAGTCCTGTTTCTTTGAGAATTCTGACTCACTAGTCCAGACTACAAAAGAGAGAAAGATAAAGTAGAATCAAGCCCTTGAAAATGAATATTTGATGAGATAGTGAAGGGAAAGTAACAGAATATGGAAAAAGAGAAGAGATTAAATTGATTCATACCCTTTGGGTTTACTTTTTCTTGACCTGGCACACTGAGCGCCTGACTGCTCCTCCCCCACCTGCCACCCAACCGTTTTCTGCTCAGCTGATCATTTCTCTGTAAGAAGGAGCTGAAAATGACATTTGTCTTTGCAATTTAGGTCTTCAACAGTCCGCATTTGTGTAGAATTTTCACTGATACTTTTAGCACGCACAGTTTAAATCTCTTTATAAAAGTACATCTAAACCCTATTGGGCTGGTATGTAGTAAATGCTCTTGTGTTTGTGTGATGCCTTGGGCTGAAAACATCATCTCAGCCATCCTTAGAGCTCACATCCTGCCTTCCTTCTGGTTCTGTTCTGGCCACAGAGCAAGCCCCTTGCTACTGAAACTTGGGTCTACCATTTGTATGATAAAGAACTGCTCTCCAGCTCTTGGAAAGATAAATGGCATCATATCTATAAAGCACTCTGTATTTATCTTACATCTTTCTTAGCAGTTTCAAGTGCTGTGATCGTTTCCTTTTTATTAATGAGAACAGAAGGCACCATACTTGCTCCCCTATTTGGAGTTTAAAATAAGGCTGAGGGAAACGAATGAACTGAAAAGGTATTTTTCCCTGCTGGGCTCTCTCGTGAATAAAAATCCCTCAAACCATAGCAAGCATCCTTCCTCAGGTGCAACACATGCCGCCTTCCCTCTCAGCACTCCTGCCCAGTGCTGTGTGTTATTGTTGTCACCTCATATGGGGCCCCATTGATGAGTGCCCTTCTCCCTGGTGCTTTATTAGGAAGGGCCAAGTTCCAATCATCTGCCAGAGATTTAGGATCCCTGTTGGAACGTGACCCAATTCAGAGCAACAAAAGACCTCGCTGGCATGCAGCCACCCTGGAATAATGTGCTTCCTGCTTTCCAGTGACGGGCTCTCTGCTATTTCAGAGCCACCTCGATAACGCCTCCTGGAATCATCCACCTTTCCATTGTCCATGAACCCCATCTCCTCCCTTTGTTTATCTTCATAGGAAAAATCAGGGACTAGCAGGGGAGCCAGTGTTCCTTCTTCATTTGTTCCAGATAAACAATTATGCTCTGTGTGACTGCTGTTATATAAAGGAAAAGAGGTGCTCTGTGTAGCCATTTCATGTTTTTCTCCTCTGACCTGGCCTATCAATCAGACTGTTTAAGTGGTATGCTTACCCAGGGGAGAAGCCAGAAATTACAATGTACCTTTCACTGACATCAGAGGTTGTAAAAGAAAATGTCCAACTCCTAAAATGATGGTCGGCCAAATGAAAGCATCAGTAATTGTCTTATGTCACCTTCTGGTTAAGAAACACTTGAGTCAAAAGTCACAGTGGGCTCAACAAACAGGCATTTATTTATCTAAAATATTTCACCAGGGAACCCCTCGGTTGTGATTTCCTTCACGTGGATGCTGCTCGCAGAGAGGCTGCCCCCTGGAGTTAGGAGTAAGTACCTGGTGCGGATCCTAAGAGATTAGGTTTCTTATTTCATTCTGTGTCTCTCTCCCCTAGTGTGGCCATGTGCCAAGACAGTGGCAGGATGGAGTGGAAAGAGCACTGAGCTGGGGTGAGGAGATCTGGTTTGGGATCCTGCCTCTGTCTCAAACTGGCTGCGTCTTGACTTCCCTGTGTCTTTGTTTTCTTATTTGCAAGAACAAGAAGGTCAGACTGGATGATTTCCCAAGCCTGCCTCCAGTTCCTCCAGTTCTGGCACGCTCAGATCGCTCAGGTCCAGATCACAGAATGATGGCCCTTGATGCCTGATTCTCCAGCTAATCAACACCTTGGCTAGGGATGGAGACCTTTAGGTTGGCCTGTACAAGGCGTTCTAAGGAGCCTCAGGAGTGACAATGAGGAGCTTCGGACTGGGGGCTTGGGTCTCTCCTCAGCTTCATGGGCTCCCTGTTTACTCCTCAGGGTGACTGTGGCCTATTGCTTAGGTGGCACAGCTCTGTCCAGAGATGGCTGTGTCGCTGGTGGGAACTGTCTTCTCCCACTCACCCTCCTATGTCTCCAAATTCATGGTTACAGATTCCACTGAGCCATATCACACACTATGGAGACCCCTACGGCTCATGAAAAACACAAGGGGCTGCCCTTGTGGTTCAGAAGGCCATCTGGATTACTGACTTAAGCCCTCTCTCTGGAAATGTGTCCTGTGGGCACTAGGAGAATACTGGGTCTCCCTTCTGGCCCACAAAAGGATGAGCGAGCCGTGGGCACTAACTCACTTTGAAGCTCTACCACTCCTAGACAGGTCCAGATTATTTATGGGGTCAGACTTGCCCAGGAGACACTGCTGTGCCTCTGACTGGCTTTTCCCGTTAAAGAAGGGTTGAATGGCGCAAGACACAGGCCCATTCATCTTCAGCCCTCTCCTTCACTCCATTACGCCTCATTGCATCACCCACTTCCACGGAGGTTAGAGTCCGGCTGAGAGGAGGTGCTTTGTGAGACAGGAAAGGTAGACAGGAAAAGCCGTTTAGAGGAGCCCAAAAGGGGAAGGGGCCACCTCTCCTGATGCCCTCTGCCTCTTCACAGGCCAGGTGCAAATGCCCACAGGACCTATTAAGTCTGAAAAAGAGAGCCCCAAACCAAAGCAGTATCAGGTTTCTTTCTGAACTAACAGCTCCCAGACAAATTGCTAATAATTCATGATCATGGATTCTTGGCAGTAAGGGCCCTACTCTGCAGATTGCTTCTTCCGCTGCTAACATAATCTGATTTCCAGTGTGAAAAAGAGCTGAAGCATTCAGAAATGGTCCCGTCATAGCACCCCATTAAAACACACACATGCGCACACATACCTGGGCACTCTACATGGCGAAGAAAGCTAAAATTATCTCTGCAATAGATCCTTTTCAAAAACCAGGTATTTCACACTAGAGGCTCTATGCTGTTTTCATTATGTTTTTTGTGTGTTTGTTTGTTTGTTTTTGCATGGCTGACAGCAAAATTCAAGAAGCTGGGAAAAGGTGAATTGAATGCATGGGCTAGTTTCATTTTGGAGGTTGAAACATCATTTCCCTGGGCAATCAGTAACCAGTTGTTTCTCCTTCCTGCAGTGGCAGGGCCGAGCTGCCAGCTTCGACAGCGAGAGCTCGTGCCCATCTCCGAAACCGCCTCCAACACCGTGAGCTGCACAGCCTGAGCCACACCAACTGGACTCAGTGATGTTCTTTTTGCACTTGTTCAGCCGCCTAAACACAGTGTTGTGCAGTCACCAAGGCAGCAGCTGTCCGTCTGCCACTCCAGAGTCTTAACTACTCCCGTGTAGGTCAAGGCCGAGACACTTGTCGTGTGGTCAGATCTGTCTTAGTCTTTTCTGTCTCTCAGAGTAATGTTTTTGTGGTTTTCACTTTATATGGTTCTGCTGTCAAGAAAAGAAGCAAAAACAAAACAAGAACACAAAAAAGAAAACAATGAGCAGGAAAACAAAAGATGGAGAGCCCAGAAGTTGGCTGTATAAAATACCATGTAAAACCGCAGTCTTTGGAGGAAAGGTGGATTGAGTTTCTAAAATTTTGTGTCTCCCCCAAGCTCTGCAGCCCTGTAGGGGGCAGCAGGGTGGAACAATGCCTGCATTTTCAGGGCCCGGCGGGAATGGTACAAATCAACCCGAGACCTTGTACGAGGCTATTCCCTGGTGTGGCCTAAGTCGAGTTGTGGACTCTTGTCCCACGTTGAAGTCGCAGGACCTCTGCAGTGTTTGCAACCCTGCAGCAGATACGCAGAGGCCTCACTTCCCTTCCTTGTTGGCTTGCCTCATGGACTAGAAACAACTTGATTTCTCATGGGGACTCCGTCACTTTCTTTAGGAATGACTCTGCTGAGACTAACCATGCAGTACGTTTTCTGATGTGCCACAGTGAACAAGCACATTTGTTTGAAAACAAGATCTTTGTTCCCCGAAATAACCTTCATTGTAAAGAGAGAGGCACACGTTCCACAGTGATTTCTGCATTCTACATGCCTTTATCACTCCACAGAGTGTCAATTTACTGTTTTAAATGCCTAAACAGATCAAAGAAAAATGTGGATATGACTTGCTTTTGTGAAAGAAGACTTTTGAAATCAGAGCCACAGTTTGAGTTGGTCTCTCTGGGAAGATCTTCTTTGTTGAAACTTAGCCGCCTTGAGCCTATTTTAGCCTCATGGACTCTGGGCTAAAACTCATCTTAAACCTTTAGTTCTATAAATCACTTAGGTACTTCAGCGTTGTTTGTTCCAGTGGTCGTGAGGGGTTTTGTTTTTGTTTGTTTTTCCTTCGGATCTCTAGCTTAGGCCAAATTCAGTGTAGGAAAAAAGAAGTCTGGACTATTCTGTATTATAATAGCACATTCCTCCTGAGTGAATAGTGGCCTTCCCATGAACCCCTATCTCTAGATTGATTTGCTCGGCCTCAGTCTGTACAGCCCTGGTAAGCACATAGAGATGGGTTTTCACTCCATCTTGCGACTGCACAGCGCCAATTTCCACCCGTGTATAGGATCTGCAAGGAGCAAGTGAGCTGATGAGCCCCCTTTCAACAAAGGTCAAACACATGAAAGCTATTTGCACACCTGTGTCGTATTCTTTCTATACATTACATGCTATAGGACCAGCAACTTCCATTAAAGTAACGCTCATTTTAAGCCAAGTTATCATATTTCTCTGCTGATAAAATGGTAGGAGGTGTCTGCTAGGGCTAAAAATGACCACATTGGGCCTCAACTAATAGGATATTGTGGCAAAAGATGTTTCTCACCTAGAAAAGTAAATGTAGATAAATCTAAACTCCATTCTGTACTGAACCTTAGGCTAGGGACTAATGTGTGGATCACTTGTCTCCCCAAATGTCTTGTGACTGACAGGCCTCCCTAGTCAGGCAGTTCTGTGTTTGGATGTTGCTTTGAGAGTTAGAAAAACCCCAAGGTCATGACCAGACTTGCAGCAGGCAACACATGTCATCATGTTTCTAGGTTAACCCCTTCAAGGTGGCCATTGCAATCACTGAGCAGATGCTGCTGATCTCATGAGTAGGAAGGGGGGAAGTAAGTTTCTTGGGCCATTGGAACCCACAAAATAGTGTGAAAGGGTCCTTCCAAAAGTGAGCTCAAAATGCACGTGCAGGTGTCACTTCTACACCCTAGGCAGGATGACCCATCCCAACCTTTGCAGAAGGACGTGTGATCAGTGTGAACCATGGAAAAGCCTTGCTCATCTGAGATATTTTTCTTACACCAAGTGGCTCTGTCCTTCAGGGAACACTCCAACTGTTTCAGAAGATCATTTCCTGAGCAGATTATGGCCAGCCGCCATGCCACCCCAGCTAACAGCTACCGCTGCAGCTCCAGCAGCCTCGGAAAATTCCTACTGGCATAGGAACATACCCCAGGAAGGCCTTTAGCTCCTGGATCCCTATTTCCCCACCCTCCTGGGCCCCCTGTTCCTCCCACACACACCAGTCGGGTCCTCAGTCTGAAGCCAGAACGATACCTGAATGGCTGCCAATTTCATTATCTAGCCCAGTATCTCTTCCTCACAGATGAGAATAAATTGAAATACAGGTTTCAGAGTAAACTGAAATTCCAAGTTGATTCATTTTTCAGCTTCCCCTGGCATGAGAAACCTCTTGGGTGGTTGTTGTGAGGTTTGCTGAAGTCAAGATAACCAGGGCTGTTTGCACACAGAAAAACACAAAGTTCTCTTCTTCATTTAGCAATGTTTCTGGGCTGAAAGATGTCCCCCTCCCTCTCTGCGCTTACCCAGGATGTTAATTGATTGTGTCATCATTTTAAAACTTACATTGTTAATTACTGCTTTGTGTCTTCCCAACCCTGTCACAGCCTGGAGTTTTTATTCAATTAAATCTCTGTCTCTTGCCCATTTCTCTTGTCATTTTATGTTCCTTGGGTTCAGCAGGCAGCACACACACAGGATGTCGTAAAGTCTTGTTGATAACTTTTGTTTCCCATCCACTTCCCTTCAGTCGGAGGTAGATGACAGGGCCTGTTGGTTGTCACTTTGCCCAAGGAGAAGCTGTGCTTCACAGCAGGCTGGAATCCACCTGGACTGTGTCAGGCTTGTGGCTAGTGCAGCATGTGGGATACAGGGTTTGACTGCTCCCCCCCCCCCC